AATGGTGATCACATGGCAAAAATACTCTCCAGGGATTAGGGGGATTTGGGAGGGGTGGTAAATCCGCAACTAAAGGACACGGGGAGCACAGTAGGGGGGAAGGGCATGCCTTTAACCCGCACTTGGGTGAGGCAAAGACATAAAGTGTAACCATAATGTTTATACCCTCATAATACAATGAAATAAAAATAAAAAGAAGAAATAAACAAATAAGAAAATAAAGCAAAAAAACTGCCCGAGCTTGAGATGGGTTCTCTTTTGTATGTATGAAGTCAATGATAAAGCTATACTATTTGCTAATTAGAAAAAAACACAGTGGAGTATAAGAAATATTCATCACTGAAATGGTTAAATGTTCAGATAATAAGCATATTTAAAATAGCAGCAAAGTCAAAGGAGACTGAACATAATAGAGGTTCCCGCAAGGGGAGAAATACTAAGATAATTGAACAAGGAAGCAATTGTAGATTCCAACTCATAGACCTAATGGGCTAAATGCCAATATACTGATCATGAAGTTATTGACAGAGCTGACTCCAGGATAGTAGTTCTCAAGCTGTAGTGTACCTAAGAATTAATCACCACAAACCCATTAAATCAAAACCATAATGGCTGGGATTCATGAGTCTGAATGTTTCACCAACTCCATGGTGGTTTGGATTAAAGAGGTTCTTATCAGTGTTGAGAAGCAATCGTCAGGGTAGCAGATTAGACCAGAGGTTGTGAAGCCTGCCTCTGTTCAGGTTGGTAGTATAATCTTGGATTACGTTTTGACTATAGCACCATGGTATCCATTACTACATATTTTTAACTGCTTTGCTTTCTTTCATCTACATTTAGCGTTGCCTTGCCAAGCTATTGAAAACAGGGGCAGAAGCAGGAGTGAGTGATGCTGGAAGTAGATCGTCACTCACCCCCGCAGCAGGGGGTCAGCCCAGGTCCTGCCACTCTCCCACTCTCATCGTGGCCTTGACGGTAGACCTGGTGGTAGTTTTATCTTGTGTTTCTTTTCTAGTCTGTTTCTGTGTCATCAGGTACGAAGTGGCTGGAGAGAAAAGGCTGGCCTCAGCGGAGCTGTGTTCAGCATGAAAGATCAATATCTGGCTTCCCTCTTGTTTATAGCTTTTTTTTCCTTCTTTCTTTCCAGAATATGTCTGTGCTGGAGAATCACCACTGGCGATCTACGATTGGTATGCTTCGAGAATCAAGGCTTCTTGCTCACTTGCCGAAGGAAATGACGTAAGTGCCACCAAGATGAAACACACTGATGAGCACGCAGTAAAGATAAGCCACTTTCTCTAGGGCCTGCCTGGGACCCCCTGCACGAATGGCAAGGAGCCAGCCGGCTGTGCTTCCTGCCTGCATTGGGATGTCTGTCTATCAGAGGAGATCTGGTGTCGGTTACAGCAACCCGGAAACCAGAATCTCTCTGTGTGCTTTGAAAGGGCCTTGGACAGTCAATGACTTGAAGTCAGGAAAAGGGACAATAAACAGCTCTCAGTTTTCACTCTTCAGCATCAACACTCTGCTTTGCCAAATTCCCATCCTTTAAGTTAGCAAAATTGTTCTCCCATGTAGATCCAAATAATAAATATTTGTCAAGAGGTAACGTAGGAGTTCTCAAGCTAGATTTAAAACTACTCCGATAAAATGTGTTTTGTAATTGCCAGTCTTAGCAAATTAGAAGTCAGAAATTCTTTTCTAAAGTGTCATTTGTTAAATACTTGAATTGATCCCAGCAATTTTTTCATGATTAGTTTACCTATGTCTCTTGTGCTTTAAACAGAAGGGGAAACACTAGTTTCCTGGTTCACAGTTCATTACCCCCTTGTGTAGGCCAAGTCCTGCTAAATCCAACGCCATTGCCTCATTTTCCTCATGGCCCCAAGTTAGCTGCTACACGTGTTCCAAAGCCATTACTAATTGCAATCTGTTTAATGAAAATGGAAAATGTTCAGAACCCAAGGAACCCAGCTAAAAGGAGTAAATAAATTGCTGCATCCTTCTTAATGACAAGTACATACATAACTTGAAGTCAAGGACCAAGTGGTATCTCTCCATAAAACAAGCAGTATGCTCCAGGGTTGTAGGTTTATTCTTGGCCCTCTGATACTATCTCATGCACCCAAAGGAATGTGGAATTTGCAGGAGGAACTTCAGTTCTGATAACTTTTTGTCCTGGAACTAAATAAAACCAGTCCTTGTGCATGGAGTAAAAACCTGTGCCTTTTACTAGAATATTAAGTTGCAAAGATTGAAAGGATTAAATGTAAAAAGAACTAAAAACTAGAACAAGAAATCAAGTCAGAAGGAGAAAAGAGGAGTTGAGTGGGAGGGACAAATTAAAAAAGGAAAATAGAGAAGAGAAGGAAGAATAGTGAGGACAGAAAAGAAGAAAATGCAAGAAAAATGGGAGGAGGGACTGGGGCGGCCAGGCTTGTCCCCTTTATTGTTTGCATTCATCCTGTTGGTTGATCGGTTAGTATTCATTTCCTAAAAAACTTCTTTCATCTCTATGGATTCCAAATCAAAATGCCATAATTTTTTAAGTCACTTTGTGGAACACAGTGTTATAAATTGCTTTTGCTAGAATAATCGTTATGCAATAATATAAGCAAAAGGACTTTGTAACAAAAGCTATCATCATCATTATTACGCCATGCATTACATCATCCTCATGTAAATACTTTACAGTCCTTTTTCTGATTTTTAAAAGTAAGACAGGTTAACGGTAGAAACTAAGGAAAACTGAGAAAGGTATTAGTTTGAACCTTACGAAATTGCTATTTTTGAGGGTCAAAAACCACAGACTATTGGCAGTTTCATACAGTTCAACCTGATATGAAGAAGAAAACTAAAATTACTGGTAATCCTGCCATCCAGGAATAATTCATGTTAACCCAGCTGGTATATTTCCTTTTAGGCTTTTTTCAATACGACTGTATTTTAACAAAATGGGAGACCTATCTTGTAGTTATGTCCTGACATTTTTCATTTGCTATAAAGGCTTTTTTCCGTATCATTAAGCCTGTTACTTAAATTAAAATCAGTTTATTGGCTACATGGCATTACTGTGCCAAAATATATGCAACTATCGCTTATCATTGGGAATTTAGATAGTTTCCAAATTTTTGCCATTATTTATGCTCAACAAGCATTCTTAAATGTATATTTTTATCCCAAACTCAAATATTCTATTTTCTCAGAATATGTTAGTGGATAGAAATTATTAGTCAGAAAGGTCTGAATTTTTAACATCCTTGTATATTACCAAGTGGTTTTTCCAAAAATTTGTATCTACCTGCATTCCCATTGTTGGGTTATAAGAAAATGTACCAATACACCATCACCATAATTGTTCTATCTTTATTATCTTTTTTAAACATTTGCAAATTTGACACATATATGTGAGTATATACATATATATATGTAGAGAGAGAGAAATGGAGGTTTTCATTGAATTAGTATGCATCATTTAATTACAACTAAGACTGAAATTTTTCATATATTTACTGGGCATTGCTATTTCTTTAGAAAACAAATTTTTATATTTGGTCTTTTCCTATCAGTGTTATTCATTTGTAAGAACTCTTTGTATATTAACTACAGTAACCATTTGTTATATGTCTTAAATATTACTTGATGTTTTTATTTACTTTTTAATTTGATTCATAAAACATTTTGCCTAACCAAAATAGTTATATTTCTGATTATAAATTTAATAAATTCATATTTTTAAAGAATTTATAAATATTAAGAAGTATAAGGAAGGAAATAAAAATCACCCATAATTCTGCTATATATTTTTCCAATTTATTTTCTGTTACCATAGAGATCATGCTTTACCTGCTTTGTATGCTGTTTTTTAACACAACAATAAAACGTGACATTTTTCCATGTCAATAAGTATAGCTGTACACCATCATATTTAATAATTATATAATATGAATGTACCATGGTTTATTTAACTAATCTCCTTATAAATTTTTGTGATTATTTTTTCCCTAAAATGCTTAATTATTGTAAACAATAGAATAAACATCCATGTAACACATCTTTACTAACATGTTAATAGAGATTTATAGATAAACTGTTGGTCAAATTATTCATGTTCAACAAATGCTTTTAAGACTAAGTTCTAAATTATCCTCCAGAAACATTGTACTAATTTACACTCTCACTAACAGAGAAGGAGTGGAATTATTTTCTCCACACCATCAGCAACATTAAGTATTACAGTCATTCATTAATTCAGGGAATTATTTAATAGATAATTTTAATCCTTACCAATAAAAATGGAGAAGTAGTATCACATAGCTGTTTTCATTTGCTTTGGGTTATACAAAGAATATTTAATACCACTTGATATTTTGAGAGTAGTTTGTATTTTTTTTGTGAATTCCCTGCTTCACATAATTATTTTTAATGTTCAGAAGTGGATTAAAGATGTATGTGTGGCTTAAAAAATGTGAACGGTGAGACTATGAACCTTTTAAAATATAATGTAGGGGAATTTTTTCATCAGAGCTGGGAAGGATTCTTAAATAGGAGAAAAATCTAAACTAACCATAAATAAAAAGATTTTTAGATTAAGCTACTTTAAAAATTAAGACTTCCTTTTCTCAATAGACATCATAAAGAAAATGAAAAGACAAGCCAGAATGCGAGAAGATATTTGCAGAACAGATAAACACATTGTAGTATCGTCCTGCAATGGATACAATATAATAATGAAAATGGATGAACTACAGCCTTCACATCAACATGGATGAATTTCAAAAACGTAATGTTAAGCTAAAGAAGCAAGTTACAAACTAATACATACCATATAACTGAAAGTTAAACCATATTGTTTAGACATGTATGCACAGGTGATAAAATTATAAGTAGCAAGAAAATGATTAAAACAGACCAAAAGAGTGGTTACTTCAGGGATTAAGGGGAGCGGGATTGTGGTGAGACAGGCAGATGTTCTTGACCTGTGTGGTGATTATGAGATGTTCATCTTATATATGTGTACGTATGCTCTATGCACTCTACTTACATATATTTCATTTTTAAAGGTGAATTTTAAAAGTAATTATGAATCTTTCCTTCCATTGATTACTTTCTAAATGTGAGGTAAAGCTCTAACTTGCTTTATTTTTCCAAAATATGTCTCTCTCCCTGTAACATTTGTTGACTAGCATATCTCTTACCCACTAGTCTGTAATGGCATCTTAATCACCCTTTTTTTTTTTCACGTTCCAGTATCGCTTTTTGCTGATCTATTCTGTTTCGTTGGTGGATCTTTCCATCCCATAGTACCATTCACTATTACTCCCATCGTGACTATTTCTACTATTTTGCATTTTCACTCACTATGCAAATCTTAATGTTTGAACCCTCTAAAAGCATAACCCAAACCCCTGTGATTCTGTGAGTCTTTTTGTGTCCTCTTCCTTAAAGCATGCATTAGTTTTTCTAGCCGTAGGAACCAGGGAAATGTATAAGCTACCACAACTTCGTTCTCCCAAGGTTTCAATCACCTGCACAGCTCTTGGCATACCTCCCATCCAAGGACAGAACTGACAGTGGGAGAGAGACTCGCTCGTGGGCTGTGCAGGGCTGGGACCCTGTGTAATAAACAGAATCAAAGGCAGAAACGAGAGTATGAGCCACCTGATGGTGAGAGAATCAATCACCCTCCTCAAAGGGATTTGCTTTCTGTGTGTGTGTTTTTCTCTTTCATTCCTGTGGATGCAGACAGGATATTGAACAGCAGCTGGGCTCCTTGATCTTGGCAACAGACATCAACAGGCAGAATGAATTTTTGACCAGGTTGAAAGCCCACCTCCACAATAAAGATTTAAGACTGGAGGATGCACACGACAGGCACTTTATGCTTCAGGTAAACAATAACAACAACTAACTGCCATTATCCTTGCTGCGTAAAAACACTTACGGATATAATCAGTATTTTAGCACATTTGAGAAGGAGTTATCTCTCCCATGGTATAAGTTAAAGCAGTGACCTATTTTATTAAAAGCTTTGAGATATATGAAATTTTTAAGTGGTTTACAAGCAAGCAAAATCTGGGTTTCATGTCAGCAAGTTGATAATATCTCATTTTTCCTCGTTTGGTAACTGCTTTACCACGGAGTAGCCACACTGGATCTACCACATTTTGTGGCTTGCTGTGAAATTGACCAGTGTAATACCTGTGCGATTTAAAAAGACCGTCTCTGTAACACAAAAATTTTATGTTAATTATAGTTCAAACAAAAATTGAAAAACAAGTGGACTTCCTTTACCTGAAATGTATTTAATCAAACCCTGCTTTGCTTACTTTTACTACCTAAACTATTTTCATCTGAGGCTCAAACGTCTTTATCGTCTTACCATTGTGGGGCAGCAATAAATAAATTATTTTAAGTTGAATTGAATTGAATTGAATCAGATCAAGCCCAACCCTTTCTGCTTTACTCCCTGGCAAGAAGCCATTGGTACAGTTTTTTTTGTTTGTTCCAGGCTTCCATGCTGCCCTCTGTAGCTGTCCAAAGTGTTCCATCCTTGCTAGGAAATACCCTACTCCCAGGTGTAGAACTATGATCCCCTCCTCCTTTCTTCCCAAACTAGTCTTCTAGTCGCTGAGCGCCACAAACATCAACCAGGTGTCTGATCTGAGTGACTCAAGCCAAGTTGTAAGTAGTTGAAAGATTTGGCCTTGAACAATTACACTTCCAAAGGAAGGCTTACTATTCAAATGAATCCCTCAAGGTAGAACCTGGAAGGGACTTCTGCCTCTTACCTACTCCAACATGTGCTCGTACCCTCATTAACCAGGAAATAAATGTAAACAACCAAATGTGCAGCTTAAGATGATCCAAGGCTCTTCCAGACCCCACCATTGCTAGCTGTTCTGTGATCCCAAGGAACTGGGTCAAAACAATGGAGATTGCTGGTGGGCAGGTCTCTTGGCAGCAGTTGGTGGTTAAAAGGGAGAAGCAACTTCTCTGGAAATTCAAGGTTACCCTCCTAGGGTCATCATCACTGACAAAAGCTGACATCCCAGATCCAGACCCGTATGAGGCTAGCCACAAAGGCCCTGATTTAGCTGTACAAACAAAATTGGTACGACTTAGCTCCCTGGCTGGCAGTCTGAGCTTACACACACAAACACAGGCACATAAATGCCAACACACATAATGTAAGTGATGTACGGAGTCGGTCAATGTGGCTACTGTGAGAGTGAGGTCCAGATGATCTCACCTGAGCCTGGCGAGGGGGCCCCTGCAGCCTCCCTGCCTGTGAGGGCTGGGGCAGCAGAAGGAGCCAGGCCATGATTTTCTTTGGCCTGCCCACCCAAGTCTCCTCCAGGAAGCTCCATGTCCTTGGACTGTGGCTCTTCCCTCCTTCTCACTGCTGTAAAGCCAGCATTCTGAACGAAGGCTTTGTGTGGTGGTGAATAAGTGCTGTTTCCTGCAGAGGCATGTCAGGGAGGCCCTCTGTAAATATGGGCCTGGTACCACGAGGCAGACTGGCGGGCTTCACAGCCCCTTTGGCTCAAGGTGCATTTGCAACTGAAGGAGCATCCTCTGACAACCTCTCCCTGCCCTGTCATTTCTCAGATCGCCTTGAAGTGCGCTGACATTTGCAATCCTTGTAGAATCTGGGAGATGAGCAAGCAATGGAGTGAAAGGGTCTGTGAAGAATTCTACAGGCAAGGTCAGTAGAGATCCAACTGCTGAGATTTCACTGCCCCTTCTTGCAGGCATTTATCCTAATAAAACAGGAAATGGCTAATCTGTCATGACATTTGTTCTTTCGTCAACTCTTATTATCCTAACCTTTCTCTTTAAGTCTCTTGCAAACCACCAACCCTTTTTTGGAAAAAAATCTAAAAATAAATAACGTTGACTTATTATGGAAACAGGTAGCAATGAGGCACAATAAAAAAGGGCCAAAGTGGGACATAAATCTATATGGCTTTGCTCTGTGTATACACCAATGTGAGGGACAGTTTGATTTTTACTCTGACCTTCATGTTAACGAGCTGAGCACAGCCTAAGCGCTAAATGCTGTTTGAGGTCAATGTTTTCCACTCTGACAGAAGGACTTGGACTCCTTTTGTGTTCCTTCTCCTCGCTTTCTTAAACAAAGTTAATAATGAAATTGGACCCAGCTGACCAAAAATTGAGTTCATCCTTTCAAATAGAGTTTCCACAGTGAGGTAGAGAATTTTGCTGCAAAAAGACAAATGGCCCTGAATTAGGGTATAATTTTTAAAAGATTACCCTCATTCAGAAATAAGGCAATGAATTAGCAAGCAGGACCTTGACGTTGGGTGGGATATCGGCCTTTAAATACAGCCTTGTTTCTTCAGGCTTGGTTTCAGTGTTCAGGATGTTTGTTCAGGCATCAGTGCTGCCCTCTTGCTAGTGACAGGATCAGGTTTGAGAGGCTGAGAACAAATAAAGCTTGAAGTGTCCCACATACCAGCTCTGTGGGGAGGTCAACTAGCAACAGCAAGCCTTTTGGAGGAGCCTCCATTGATTGAAAGATGTGTCAATGACACCATGATAGCCCCAAAAACAGAAAAAGAATTGATTGAGTTCATGTGGGGCCAGAAGGTTCTGCTTACCGTCTCTTTCTCTCAGAATAAAAGTGCTCACGTAACTCCTACAGCTCTGTGTAATTTCACTTGAATTAAGTGCGAGTGGTGAGAAATCTAAAGATCAGTTCTAGTTGTCCATGATATAAAATCTCCACTGAGGACAACACAAAAGGATATATGGTGAAATCAGAGCAAGGAGGTTCTAAATTAGATATGATACTTTCTTTATTGTGTGATTTGTAAAATACTGAAATAGCACAGCAAGAGAAAGGCTAGGATCTCCATCCTCAGAAATCAGACAATGGGACCGAGAAAAGATTCTGCTCTTTCCCGCTTGGTTTTGACTCAGTCATATGCTATTGTGGGTATCAACTACAGTCCAAGCCTTTTATTTACTCATCTTGAACCTTATTTGGATTCTGAGCAAGTTGGGGCATGTCACTTGGGAAGAGAGTTAAGACCCACAGAGTTAGTAAATCAAAGTTGTTAACTAAGTAAATGGCATCAACCAAGAAGGTTCACCTATAAGACCTCTTTGCAAAAACTTGCTGTTGTCCTAATGATATATGCATGTGCAGCATTATAAGATGAAAAACCTAGAACATTTGTAACTCTGATCACTGAAGATGAGCTTCCATACACTTTTCTCTGGCATGTCTCCTGGCAGAGGAAGGAGAATAGAGAGGGCAGATCGAGTCCTTTTGGTTTAATAACCTTATGATCTAGCAGAAGTTCTGCCCATTTGATTAATAAGAAGAGAAGATCAGACTCTCTGGTCATCCAAACTGCCTGTCCTCCTTACTGAATTATTTTTTTTTAATTCTTTAAGGATGACTTGTATCATTTTGATTAATCTTATTCTGGCTTTCAGTTTAGGATTTGGACTAAAATTCCCGGTCATTCCAGCCTGCTCCTGGCAGACAGGCTTCCACCAACTACTGACAGTCCTGGACAAAGTATCTTTAATATGATTTATGATGTTGAGCAAAGAAAAACCTTTACAATCAAGACTAAGTGCATAGGGAGAAAGGAAGATGAGAGCCCATGAATTAGGAAAACTGTTATATTCTCAGATCAGAGATTAGGATTCCAAACACCATGTGCCTTCCTCCCCCAACCCCAACATCTTAAAAAAGTAGAATTCCTGTCCCTGGTAATGACAGATTGATGTTGTCTCAATCAACCTAGTTTCCCAGAAGCTTTTATTGAACATCTGCTTCCAGCCTTGTCTAATCCTCAGCAAAACTGTGATTTTCCGATGTACAAAGCCCCGCTGGGGATGTTATGATGGATACACACAAGTACAGTTCATTTATGCTTTGTGCTCTCAAAATAGTAATCAGTAAAGTTTCTGGAGGAAAGAAACTATGCGATTTTCCTCTTTGTATTCTCTACATTGATTAGCAAAGTATCTGAAACATATAAGCCCTTTATAAATTTTGTTGAATGAGTGAATGAACAAATGATCTGATTGGAAGACCTCCAGTGACAGAGGTCATAGAAGACCTAGTGCTGAGCACAGTGGGATCTGAGCCGGGTACTGAGGATGTTTCCTGTTCCACACTTTCCAGTACAAAAGCCACGAGGAACATGTGGCCAGTTAAATTTAAATGAATTAAAATTTAATAAAATGAAAAGTGTAGCATCTCAGTTTTATTCATCATATTTCAAGGGGCTACCATAGTGGGCAATGCAGAGAACCTCTCCATCATTGCAGAAAGTCCTGTTGGACAGCACTGGCCTAGACAGAGGGAACTAGGAAAGCACCGAGGTAGGGACACACCCTGCTTTGTAGACCAGCTCAGTCTCATAGAAGGTAGGAACGAGAGGATGTGGCGCCTCCTGGACACAAGGCTAAAATAGAGAACATGACAATGGGAGCCTTCTTAGAAAGTGCATTTGGGGCAACGTATATAGCTGAAGTGGAAGAAAAACTGGAGGAAGAAAACTAGCTAAGAAGTAAAAATTAAGAATGGATTATTATGAAACAAATCCAGGGTCAGGCAGAACGAAAAGGGGAAAATAAGGTATTCCAGAAGAGGAAGAAACAGGATCGATGCCTCAAGATGGAGGGTGGAGAGAAGGGAGAAATCAAAGATGACTCCTTCAAAGTGTTAACAGAAATATGGAGGTGAGGAGAAGCAGCAGCTTTGGGAAAATCCATTTGAATATTAAATAGTGTCCTGCCCTCCCTGAGAAGGTTATGATCACCTGGACTTGGAGAGCCAATGCAGCAGGCTTCCCTGAACTCCTCAGGTTAAGCCAGAGCAATTTCTTTGCATCAGTCTTGAAAATCACCAGGGCACAAGAGACCACAGGAGGCATGGCTACAGTTTTAAAAAAAATGACAGAAGTATGGCCTCTCTGGGATTCTAGGTCAGTGGTTAAGTGCAAACTTCCTGAAGCCAAACTTCCTAGGTTGGAATCCAGGTTCCCCCCTTTCCTAGCCGTGTGACCTCAGGTTAACGTACCTTCCCTGTGTTTCAATTTCCTCATGTGTAAAATGGGGACTATAATGAGGTTGTTATAATGATTAAATTAATTAACATATGTAAGATGCTTAGAACAGTGCCTGGTACATAGTAAGTAAGCACTATATAAATGTTATATTTTTCTCTCTTCTAGTGTAGGGGAATAGACTCACAACCATGAACCTAGCTAATGTTTCTGAGCACTAGCTTCTCCACTGATTAATCAGATTGTTTTTCCAACTCAAAAACTACCCATGATTTTTTACCCTCAGGAAGGACTGATAAAGTATTTTGCTTCGCATGATGCATTTCTCCTTTGGTCTTCTAGCTGACAAAGGCATTAAAAAGAAATATCGCTCTAACCTTTATACTTTTTTTACCCTTCAGTTACATTAGGTAAAATGCTAAGGAATCAAAGCGAAAGATACCGAACTCTTATTTCTGATTAATTTTGTAGCTACAGACAGAGATCCTGCTCAAATGAGATCTTTCTAGTCCTTCTACCCCATTTCCTCCCTACTCATTATTCCTGGTTGTCCTCAGGTGAAACCAGACTAAGGTCAGGCATTGTGAAAGCAGAAAACGGGATCGGGGGAGGATAAAACCTGTGTTCTTAACCTGTAACTTAAAGACAGAACTTCCATTTCATGTTAGGAAATTTCCTATTCGTTGTTTTCTTATTTTTATAGATCTTGTTCAAAAGTTTATTCTTGTCTCAGAGCACACCTTTTTACAATGAGCCTATTATAAATGTCCATTGGCAATCTGGTATTTTAAATTTTCATGAAAGCTACCAGAGTAAGGCAAAACAAGTAAGTGCTAAAGGATTCCTAATGATAACACAACAGGGAACATAAATTCCCAAAATAACTTCTTCCAACTAGGTCATTAAAACTATTAATACTCACTTTATAAATTCTAGATTACCAATGTATTTCTTTTTCTTCCATCTTAGGTGAACTTGAACAGAAATTTGAACTGGAAATCAGTCCTCTTTGTAATCAACAGAAAGATTCAATCCCCAGTATACAAATTGGTGAGTTGGATTTAATATCAATTTTAAATGAATGGTTTTGGCACCTCTGATAGGAGTCACAAAGAAAAGAAGATCTACACCCAGCTTTCGAAAGATCAACAATGGAGATTTAATCAATGTCCCTTTGACCAGCTAAGTGCAGATAAACACTTTAATTATGACTAGTCTACTAGGTAATTACCAATTGAGAAATTGTGAAAAATAGTATGAAAGCTTTGTTATCGGTTAAAGTGTGATATCAGTGCATTCAGAATAATTATTACTTCATCTAATTGAGTTATGCATAAGATCATTAAGCAAATCAAAATGTAGAAATTTTAGGCACTTTAGTGGAGGAAATAGTTTTACTCCAGTAAGAATTTCTATCACAACTTAAAACACTCCACCAATTCCATCTACATTTAAAGCAAGCCTTTCTTTTCCTTGCAATTCCCTTCCATTGAAACAAAACTCAGAACTTTAACTCTTTTCCTTATAAGCTCTGGCCCTGACATGTACCAGTTCATATTTTTTATCTGTTTGCACAGACTTCAGACAACTGAATGCAATCACTGTGCTACAGCCCTCTGCAACGCTCAAGGTTTAACGAGAGGAAAGGAGGAATTTGAAAAGATAAACTGAAAATTAAGAAAACCTGAGCAAGTTAGCATGCTATACCTACAATCACTGAGGGTCAAATCTAACCCACAGTCCCAAAAAGTAGTCATAAAATCATCTTCAGGATATAGGGACAAAATAAATCTAGCTACAACAATTTGAATGGAATATACGAATATTAAAATAAGTGTGTTGGAATTATGAGATAATTGAGCATTCATTTTTTTCCAAATTGTCCTCAATGTTGTTATGTTGTCTTCGCAATTAAGCCAATTCCTCCACCCCAAAGTAGGGGAGAGTAATAAAAAAAATAGAACCCAGGACCAATGATGATTCAGAATTGCTGGGGATTTTGGAGGCGGGAGCAGCAGCAACAGAAATCAGCCTCAGCCTCAGCCTCGTTGGACCCAGTTCTGTCCTATTAGTTGCTTTAGCTGTGGAGGTTCTGCAGATGTGATTGAAAATTAGACGCTGACCAAAGTCCTAACCCTGAGACTCACTGTATTAAGCTCTGGCTGGAAAGAAATTTGCTAGGCAACTGTTAATGACATTTTGGACCCCCCAAACGAAAGCATTCACATTGTTAAGCACACAACCTGGATTTGCAAGACAGACCTGATTTCAGAGATTCTGTCCTGTTGTTGTCATGAGAACACACTTATTTTGTCAGATATGTCCTGATTTTCAGCTCAGAAAAATGTGGTTGCCATAGATACCTCTTTTAAAAACGGGTTGGGAGTTGAGTAAATAGAGAAATCCCATGGATGCTACACCAGCACACCAATAATAAAGAGAAAGAGAAGGTGATTATCAAACAATTCAGTACATAAATCGTTTTCTACCTCTGTTCCACATCTGCCAGCTCTTAAATGTCCAGGGTTGGGAAGTATGGTGGCATGTTAGATCGGGCTAAACTGGAAAAACCCAAAGAGTTAATCAGAGTCTGATGGATTCTGCAGGCTTTAGCCCCCCAGACAACAATTTTTCTAGTGGATCTTAAATAATGCAGCTATTGCCTGTGTCCTGCCTCACTCTGAGTGAAAATCTTCCCTCTCTTTTTCCTTTCTCAATCCAAAATGAGAATTTTCTGAGTGCCTTTCTCAGGCTTAGATCTGATTTTCTGTTTCAGTAATTCATATTTACCCAAGTGGAACTGGGGCTTAATATCCCTGCTCTTCCTCCTCCCCTCCCCTCTCTCCACCAATTCTGAATTTTAAAAAGAAAATATTACATCAAATGAATCTCTAATTGGTGAAATCGATAGAAAGCTGAAGAGAAAGAGGATTTCCTTCAATCCTTGTGTACTCTGAGGCCACCATTCCTCCCTGTCCCCACTCCCACCTCTCCAGGGGGACAATTCCCAGCCAAGTCAGCTCATCCCATGAGGAGAGAGGTCGGCACAACACACTGCTGGAACAGGCTCCCAAACCTGAGGATGCAGGAGCCTTCCTTCCTTTGGAAAACTGCTTCATGGTGTCTACTCAGCCTTTAAAATCGCTTTCCTAACTAGCATCACAAGTCTTTATACGTCTGATAAGTCTAAATACAGATGTATAACTCCAGGGTAACTTCAGGAAGAAAATGAGTTCATTTTTTAAGTGTTAGATCTTTAAAATGTTGGCTTTGTAACCTTTTTAAACTTAGATACACTTGACAAATATTCACCCTTTGAGCTTTAGAATAATATAATTTTGCAAAGTATCTTTTTAGATATCTAATATCTAATTTCTTTTAAGTTGAATGATATTAGAAATTAGATATGGAGATTGTGAAGGAGTAAAGAACATTCAAGAATAGCAAGCAAAATGTGACATCCTTACTTGCTGACTCCCTAGGTAATCTTGTCAAAATGCCAGATACAGACATAAAGTCACAGGCTTAACTTTCCCCCTCAGGTTCATGTTCTCTAAAACAATCTCATGATGTTTAAATCATATTTCACATAAGATGAGATCATGCAGAAATGTATAATAACATTTTACATTGCTGCATCCTTTTTCCATCTCTATTAGTATCCTCAAAGGCCAGGTGTTGGTTATTTGTCCAAAAAAAAAAAATCAAATGAAGCCTTATAATTCACATGCCTGTAAACATACAGGGTTAGTTGTTGGAAATTTTTGTTATGCTGAAAAGCATTTGCCTTTTCTCTCCACATCTACATTTCAAGAAAATACAATTAAAAACCTAAATAAGTGCAAGTTTGTGATGATTTCCAACAATTCTGGCCTACACTGAAAGTTATCTTTGCTTAACAAATCATGTCTAATGTCGAAAGCACATTAACAGCAAAACATGATTAGAAAACAGCAAATCTTAAATATATAAGAGAACAGACATACTAACGAAGAAGTCTAATATCGAACTATCTTATCTGGTCACTAAAGTAGGACTTTAAGACAGGTAAAAATCTGTACTGAAAATGAATGAATTTTATTTAAACCTAGTTGTTTAATATAACTGAAAGCAAGATATGGCTATAAAATGATAATCTTGGGGGAAAAAAGTATTCTACAGGGCAAGTGTACAAAATCTTCAGATGGTCAGAGTCTGTGAGATGTCCCCTCCTGACCTCATGGGCTCGTTCCTCTCCTCTCCCTCCTGCCTTCCTTAGTTCCAGCAGACTTCTTTCTCTTTACTTTTTTATTTATGTGTCTTTCTCCCTCTGCAAATAATAATAGCCAATACTTACTGGGTGTTTAGTATGTGCCAGGAGTTTTCCAAACGTGTTTTTACATATGTTAAGACATTTAATTGTCAGGACAACCCTATGGGTTTAGTGCTTTCTTTAGCTCCTTTTTCCAAATGAGGAAACTCAGGCACAAAGAGGTTAAGTGACAAGACGAAGGTGACATATTTTATGCTCCCAGACTGAAGACAGTGACCCTATCTCGTTTGCCTTCATACCCGGGGAGCCCAGTACGCAGCGGGTCCCCCGTGGCGTTTGCGGGGGAGGAGGAACTGGGTTTCCTGCCCTTCGGTGACGACTTTGGCCTTGCCCGTTCCAGGTTTCATGACCTACATCGTGGAGCCGCTCTTCCGGGAATGGGCCCGTTTCACCGGGAACAGCCCGCTGTCGGAGAACATGCTGAGCCACCTGGCGCACAACAAAGCCCAGTGGAAGAGCCTGTCGCCCAGGCAGCGCAGGAGCAGGGGCAGTAGTGGCAGCGGCCCCGGCCACGACCACGCAGGCCCCGGGACTGAGAATGAGGCGCAGGCTGCGACGGAAGGCGACACCCCGTAGGGAGCCTGACCCGCCGCTCCGAGGAAGGACTCTCCTCTGGGTTGTGGCCTGGGGCTCTTTGAATGCCGCCCTCCTCCTACTCGCCTGCCTCCCCTCCTTTCCGCAAGTGTACAGAAGCCATTTGTCACCTCGGCGTTAGCTGCCGACAGGAGCAACTCCGTTCAGTGACGTGGGGGCTGATCCCACGGGCAGGGCGCCCCCCAGGAGAAGACTGGGAGTGAGAAAGAGGTGCTTCTGCCATGTCCCTCATGGCCCTGGGTCACACTGTGACAGGCAGCAGTTCCCGAGGCCAGAGCACTTTCTTGTTTGCCATCTGACTGCTGAGCTGCATGACGAAAACACCAGCATATTTGGAACTCCGAGGATATCGGTCTTAAGTGCAAGAGCACAAACGAGAGCGCGAGAGAAAGTACCTTCTATTTTAATAATAATTATTATAAAAAATAATAATGAATCTTTTTAACTTTTGTATTTTATGCAGTAGACAATGGATCTAAAACTCTGGACCGAGATTACTCAATGTACCCAAACTTGAACAAGGGGTGCATTGTTTTGTTATGGACTTTATGCCACTTTGGGGCAGAGATTCGGCATCTTCTCAATTTCAGAAACCACGTTTCCTATCCGACCCGAGGGGAAGGTGCTGTACAGTTCATTCCTTTGCACCGTTAGCCGATCTGTCTATAATGGATTCAGTGACATGTTTATATTCGCACATGTACATTTTCTGTAAATACCAAGCGCTACTGATTCCCATGCCAAAATACATGAGTATTATGGGATTGCTACCTGTATAAACAATGGCACTGTGAACAGAATACTGTTAGTTTTAATACAAGAGAATGCATTTGTAAATATGGTATAGAGTTTATTAATATACTGTTGTTTGCAGATAAAGGCCTTAACTTTAAACACCCTTCATCTTCTGAAAGCTGCCCAACTTAAATCCTCACAGATAATCTTTCCGAACTGCCATCCCATGTCCATCTTTATGTTTTCCAGCTAAGGTCACAAACCAAAACTGAATAAAGTCAAGGAAACATTTTGGGAAACTTCACACGCATTCCGCTCGAGACCATAGTGTTTAATCTGTGACACTAAGCATCGTTTCCTCAGATTAATGAGACCCTTCAGCAAGTCTGAATCAGTCACTTTTCAACACAGCAGAGGTGTTTTAACAAACCAGCTGATAAGCTTGTGTTTTTGTGACTCTTATTACGGAACATGGTGGTGCGTCAGCCTCACGGGAGACATAGCAGGTCTCAAAAACCTACTATGGCCCTGTCCTCTACCCATCAGGGAATTCCCTGCTCCCACGCCACACAGTTGTCTGTTCTGGCTACAGTACCAAAGGACCTTTGGTTTATGGTTGGCGTGCATTTCTTTGGTGTTAATGGTAACTGGATTTTTCTTTTTCCTTAACTTCATGTGAACAACTAGCCAATTGTTTAGCTGAAGTTAATATTATTTAAGTCAAGAAAATATTTCAGTTTTATGACAGACTTTACCTTCCTGGCAGGTCATTGTGGTTAATTATGGCTTAGCTGGCAATGTCACCTTGGAATTTTGTTGCCATTTTTTCTGCAGACACTTGGCCATAAAATCAATTCATTACAGCATTCTTCTCTAGGCTGCTACTCGCTGTGCATTGAACCTTTTCTTTAGAAGTTTTAACATAACTAATGTTAGACAGACATTGTTGACGCCCCTTTCTTTTAACCTTCAGCTGTGCAGTAGTGGGAGAATGACTGTTTCTGCCACTATCAGCTGTTTCTCAAACTGGTAGAATAACAGGTGGTTCTCATTTCCTAAGTGCAACTGGTTTGGGGTTTTTTCCTCCTAACATACAAATGAAATGTCAAACATTTGACTGGCCCGTAATAAGTTCCTATAGAGAGACTGAGGCTTGCAGAATTAAGGTTTAGGGGAAATTTTGGAAAGTTGGCTGTATTTTCATTAAAGTAGGAGAGATTGTCAGATGGTACTGAAGAAAGTGTGAAGTGTGAAGATCTTATGAAATGGGTGAATGATAAGTTGAAATTGATATGGGTGAGAAGGGAGGTTGTGGAAACTGAACACTAACTTTTTTTTTTCTGTAATCGCTATGAACCGACAAATGCTTCTCTGTCACTTTAATATTCTGAAGCTCTCAGCTCGGCAAGGCCCCAAAAGAGAATATGATGGGTGTATTCCCATTTCCAAACCTCTCTTACTTTGGTTTGATGATGCAGAGAGAGCCATTGAGTAGTCTATTTTTAATGTATATGGGATCAAATCAAGGAAAGCAAGGACAAGAAAGTAGAGATAGGAAAGAAGATACTATTTTAGCTAATGGGGCCTCTACCTTGAGTCTAGGAAATGGACTTTGTTTCAATTACAATTATATTATAATTTAAATGAGTAAGATTGGAATGTTCTTCGTAGTTCCAAGTTTATAGGGCAAAAATGTTTATGTTACAATTAGGTCTCGAAGAAGAGCTCACAGAGAAAACTACCGAGCAGCCAGTGATTGAGCCTATGAAGTAACTATGACTACAACAAAAATCTGAAGTAAAACGAGACGTGATGCAGAAACTGGATGCATCTGTCTCCTTTATTCTACTGTCTGGAGATTTCTTGAGTTCCTCATTTGTTGGCAAACAAAACAACAACAACAAAAAAAAAAAAAAACAGAAAAAGAATGTGAAAAATTCTTTTCTCTTGCCTACTAGTTGCTATCTTGCAATATTTCAATAGTTCAATTACTAGTTAAGACACAGCTATTGGATCATCTATGGATTTTATCTTTACAACCTTATTCTCCTAGTCCACAGACCATCCAGAATTGACGTACCAAGTTTATTCTTTCATTGCTCAAAAAGAAAGGAATCAAAGGGCTATTTTTAGTAAGCTAGAGGTAAAGTTAAGATCAAATTAAGACAGAAAGAGAATATCACTGCCAGACCTGATAGGCAAAGCCTGCTTTCCTTTTAATAGCAGCAATGAATAGTCAGGACCTTATTTATGAAACCCTGACCTACCCATAACTCCGTGCTAGGCTAAAAACCAAGCTCTGTTTCTCCCTGCTTACCGCTTCCCACAAAGGGATTTGGAGTGTGTCCTGCAACCCTGTCTTCAGATAATGCTTCCTGCAAAACACAGGCTTGTTTTGTAATCTTTTTTCATGTTAAATGGGATCTGCTCAGTGATGTGAATTTGGTTATGAGCTTGTATTTCACTGTATTTCTCCTGCTTTGTTCTTTTAAGCAAACTCTTAAAATTGTGTCATTTTGTGTACACATGTGAGATTTGAAAAAACCACCTTGTGAGTTTTGCTCAAAATGTGGCCTAAAAATATCCATTGGCATGTCTAGATGAACAATTAAAAATAAAGATAATTTCTTAAAAATATCACAATATGAAAATATACTAATTCTCACCAGGTAACATGTTACCAGCCAACCAATTGGATTCAACCAGAGGGACCCACTGCTCAGGAGAGGAAACATTCAAGGCAAGAGCACAGATGCAAACATGGGCCATGTGACTCATTCCACCTGGGGGCTGCAGAAATGCCCGTGTCGATGAAGGTGTTAGCGCCAAGTTAGGGAAACTGGGCCACCATTCTGCTCTACATTTCCCCAGAATCCTGATATTTTTCTGACTCACATTTGTCAAACTCATATATGAATTGGAATGCGGTACAATGTTTTAGGTTCTAAAAACATAGCAGGCTCAATGCAAGAATTATTTGTGGAAAATGTGGTCTCACATTTCAGGATTGGAGGAGATGAGGAAGAATAGAACAGTACATGCAGGACAATTGAGTGTTCTAAATCTATCCAGAAACAGAGGAGACAAAGAACATCACCCATGTTCCCCAGAAACACCCTTGTATCTTTTTGGATTCTCCCATATTCATTTTAAGATTTGTATTCAGAATCCCACTGATTCCTTAACGTCTGTCCATGTTTGAAGGCAAAGTCACTTTTTCATTTGTGGACGTTCTATGTTATAAAACCAAAATCAAAAAGGAGACCCCAGTAGTAGTATTTCAAGTGAAAGTCAGACATGACTTCCAAAAGTTACCCAGAAACCTAGCTGAAACATTGTCAAGTAGGCCAAGCCTACATGAGCAGTTACATTTCAATTAAATAAATATTGATTAAGGATCTACCATGTGCAAGATGTTGTGCTAGATATTGGGATATAAAAAGACCCAGTGCCTCCTGGAGCATTCAGACTTGTGCCAGAGCCTGGCGTTATCAGTGAACGCCTCTTAGATAATTTGTGAAACACCTATGATTGCCCACAGGAAGCCAGAGCTCCTTCCTGGAGTACAACATGATAGAAAGCAGATAAGCTTCCAAGACAGAAATGGGTCCCCATCCTGGTTTTGTCACTAACTTATTCTGGGACTAAAGGGACATTCCTAAAACCAATGTAAAATTATTTCCAGACAATAATACCCTTTATAGTATTGTTGTGGCAATTAAAAGATTGCATACAAAAAAGCACCGAGCACACTCTCTGGTACATGGTCAATTTTTCAATAGATAGAATTTCTCTCCTCTTAACAAAAAAACTTGGCAAATAGACATGGGTAAGATTAGGGAGAATTTATGGGGAAATAGAGTAAAGAAGTGCTGGTGATTTCACATTAGGAAGTCAAACTCCTAATTAAGACAGAGAGATTATTTTTTAAAATTTAAATTTTAGCTAATATAGTTTGAAAATGCATAATTGCCTTGTCAGTCACCTAAGCAGCAATTCAATTGCCTGAAATGCTTCAAATTCTAGTATCACAAGTGCCGATCTAATCTTCAGTATTTTTTTCCTTTTTAGGGAAGCAATGCAGTAGAGTTTTTAAAGTGTGGGCTTTGGAGTCAGACAGATCAGAATTTAAATCCCTCATTATCATTAGCTGTTTAACCGGAGGCAACTAATTTAACCTTTGCTGACTCTCCATCTCCTCGTCTATAAAATGATAGTAACATCTACCTTCTGGGGTGATTGTGAGGACAAAATTAAATAATATATGTAAAACATGTAGCACAATTTCTAGCAGAAAGGGAGTACTTAAACGTAAATTCCTACATCACTTAAAGAAAAAATATCTGTAACGTGGGAGTTGGGATTCATCTTTTACTTTCTGTAGGTTGTGCCAATTTTTATACAAATGAAAACACATGACTCATTAACAGACATTAAGCATGATTACCTACAGGTAGCCAGGTTGATCATAAAATAATCCTTGTATTATGGACAAAACACTGTAAAAAATGATTAAAGAAGACAATGTCCCTGGAGTACTAAGGATACACTGATAAGACTAGGGACAAATAAGGGTCTATTTCTTCTGATTTTAAAGTAAATACTCCTCAGCCCAGCCAGAGGAAAATAGTCTGGTTAACCTAAAACTTTCCTAGAGTTGACAAGAATACAACCCTGGCTAGAGAGAAGGCTTAAATAAGCAAACTTTACAACCACTCAAGTTTTCTTGAATTCCATGCAAATCCTACAAATCCCATTGAGGCTCCCAGTAGCCCTTTCCCTTGTAACCTCTTTTTTTTTATTTTGTTTTTGTTTTTGTTTTGTTTTTTCTTTTCTGAGGCAGGGTCTCCCTCTGTCACCTGGCTGGAGTACAGTGGTGTGATCATAGCTCACTGCAGCCTCAGCCTCAAACTCCTGGACTCAAGTCATCCTCCTGCCTCAGCCTCCCAAGTCCTAGCTAGGACTGCAGGCACACACCACAATGCCCAGCTAATTTTTTTAATTTTTTGTTTGTAGAGATAGGGTCTTGCTCTATGGTTGCCCAGGCTGGTCTCAAACTCCTGGCTTCAAGCGATCCTCCTGCCTTGGCCTCCCAAAGCGTGGGGATTACAGGCATGAGCCACCACGCCTGGCGCCCTTGTAACCTCTTCATCAGATCCTTTCTGACCACCGACAGCAGAAGCTGAGGACTCCAGGGGAGTCTTTGCAAACAGATGCCCTAAAATAAATTCGCTTCTCCTAAACTAACGTTTTCCAAATTGCATAAAAATGTGTGTGCCAAAAGGTGTT